ATTAGCTATCGCTATTTGAGTTTTGTTTAACTGTCACCACATGTAGCAACCCCATGCAGTGAATTCCTCATAGGTTAAACTTGTTATCACGAAAGTTAAACGTAAGAGTTGCTCCTTGTTTTTAGTTTTCCCGATTTTTCTTGCTATTATACTGGACTAGTTAATGTTCGTGCCGGCCGGCCGGCCGGCCCTGGGCGGTAACCGTAAGGTGACATATACTCATGGAATTTGAGTTATTTTATTAACTTCCAACTTAACCTTGAGCCGGTAACGATAGAGCACAAACGTGTTAAATGGCTTGATCGCGATTATAAGTGGATGGAACAAATGGATTTTCACATATCAAGCAACAAATCGGTGGAAGAATTGTTTGTCAAAATGTACACTCAGAATCAGTGTACTACAGACCTTTTCTATTCCATAAAGGTACATCAAAGTTATCCTGGCACAAGTCTATGTTTACCGCTACATTGTATTCGTTGTTGCGACAATAATTTTTGAGCAATAAACTCTGTCGCTTAAGGTTGTTTCAAATCTGAAAATTAATGTCTGAATTCGAAAGAAATATTTAGGTAGGCTCTTCCAATACAGAACTGGCACATTGCAATGATTAACTTCTTATTCCGCTGCTGTTGGTAAATAAAACTGTTAAATGACAGCTGCCAAGTGCGACATTATGGTTCTATATATCACTACTACCGGTCAATAACGCTTTAAAGATGAATTACCGTAAAAGCTCTATTAAGCCCCCAGGGGAGCTTATTTAATTTCAGGCCTTAAAAGAGAGGGGGCTCATTTCAAATCTTAAAACACCGTTTCCGTCTTAAAATGGTTTTGTGCAAACTCAAACAACTGCGGTGAAACTTTAAATGGAACGAATTATTTAATATGGAGCAGCCAACATTATTATGTGTTTTAATGTATATTTGTTTCAAAACAAATCAACTGGGTCGCATGAAGTGGATTTTGTATTAGGGAAAAAAATGGTCTGATTACAAAATTTCATGTCGCCAAACGGGGTGAGGGGGGGGGGGTTAATAGAAGGGGGGGCCTTATTACAAAAAAACGACTTCCAAAGGGGGGGCTTATCAGAGAGGGGGGGACTTCACAGCGAGGTGGGGTTTAATAGAGATTTTACGGTAAAACAACAACCAGATTAGAATTTTTTAAAGTCAACCTTTGGGCCTGTGTAATGCAAGAGCCCTTGAACTGAAACTAGTTGTTTCGTATTCGTTTATTAGTTTGAGGCAGCAATTTCTACAAAATGGATACCGGCAATTTAGAGAGGGTCTTCGTTTTGTAGTTTGAGGCAGGTAAAAATACAAAACGAAGACCCCATCGATTTCAATGTTTTAGCGTCAAGTAAAGCGTTTTAGCGGGGATCTTCATTTTGTAGTTTGATTTGGGCAAAACTAAAACACGGAGACCCCATCGATTTCAATGTTTTAGCGTCAGATAAAGCATTTTTGCGAAGTCTTCGTTTCGTAGTTTGAGGCGGGTAAAACTTCAAAACGAAGACCTAATCGATTTCATTGTTTTGGCGTCGAAAAAAGCGTTTCAGCACATTTCATTTAATTGATTTTCAAGTCTTCGGTCTTCGGTCTTCAGTTTAGAGACACCCCTTAATACGAGAATGCGTTCCACGCTTCATAGGGTTACCAAACTTAAGACTGGATGCAAAACCACGCTTTCGTTGCGACAACCACTTGTAACGAACATGTAACATTTTTACCGATACTTACTTCGCTTCACTTTATTTGTGAATTTACGACTGAAGAAGAATAAAAAAAAGTCATGATTAACGAAAGTTCTGTATTTCACTGTTCACTGTTGGATTAGTTGCTTATTACATCAGACTTCCGGTGTTCTAGTTAGCAAGGCCCCGTTGCATGCTGGGGGCCATGTGTTTTGATGCTCGGCCATCTTGTATGTACTTCATCTGTGTGCGGAATAAATCTTTACCTTGAAGCCTAAATATTACATGGTTGCAGCGGTGAGTAGAGACAATCAACGTTAAGCAATGCCAGGAGGCGAAGAACAGAACACGTCAGGCACGGAGACGGTTAATCAGGCCCACACGACCACACAAATTCCTCCCCCGGGAAAATTCGAAGAGGCAAACAGTCCACAAGCAGCAGATGCATGGCCAAAGTGGCTTCGCCGATTCGACCGGTACAGAGCAGCGTCAGGGCTAAACAGCAAACCACCAACTGAGCAGGTCAGTACTCTCCTTTATGCAATGGACGACAGTGCCGATGATATTCTCCACACGCTCCGACTAGACGAAGGAACTGTCTCATACGATGAGATTAAGAAATCGTTAAACGACTATTTTGCTGAACGTCGAAACGTAATCGTGGAGAGAGCGCGTTTTAACAAAAGGTCTCAGAAACCGGGAGAATCTGTCGAGATATTTATCCAAGATCTGTTCAGATTAGCAGATAATTGTAACTACGGTGCGTTAAGGGATGACTTGATTCGAGACCAAATCGTAGTGGGGGTACTTGATGATTCACTTTCCGATCGACTTCAGTCAAAAGGAACTCTTACACTCACACAAGCCGTTCAAATGAGTCGTCAGGCAGAATCTAGAGCACAAAACCGTGATATCGTCCGTGGGGACAACAAATCAGTTCAGGTTGAATTTGTTAACCCAGGAAAGTCAGGAAATAAAAAACCACCGAGAAAAGAAAACTCCAAACCTCTCCCAAGCTGTGGATGGTGTGGTCACGAGAGACACTCCCGCCAAGCATGCCCTGCGAAAGATGCTACCTGTAACAAATGCAAAAAAAAGGACACTTTCAAACTGTTGGTCGCAGCTCTGCACTGCCAACAAAGAAAGTATGGGAACTGGAAGAAGATGAAGAGCAGGAAGAGGGAGATGAGGTTCTGTTTCTCGGAGAAATTCAGACCACAGGGGGCGGTTGGACTGCGCAACTCGGGGTTAACGGCCAAAATACTCACTTCAAGCTGGACACTGGTGCTGCAGTCACAGTCATCGGTGCGAATACCACATGGCTAAAAGATCAGAAGTTAGTCAAACCAAAACAAACCTTGCGAGGCCCTGGAAATATTCAGATCCCAGTCATTGGCATGTTTCAAGCCAACCTCTCATACCGCCGTAGGAAGGTCACTGAACCAGTGTACGTCGTACCAGACCAGACCTTTCCACTACTAAGCAGAAATGCCTGTGTTGCGTTAGGGCTAATCTCCCGTACTGATGAAGAAATTGGTGATGTCACTACTCAACATGCTGATTTCAAAACTGAATTCCCCTCACTATTCACTGGTCTGGGGAAGGTGAAGACAGAAGTATACATAACACTGCAACCTGATGCAAAGCCCTTTTGCATTTACACACCAAGAAAGATCCCTTATCCACTATTGCCAAAGGTTAAACAAGAATTAGACTCTATGCTTGAACGGGGGGTCATCTCACCAGTGACCGCACCGACTGCTTGGTGCTCTGCTCTCGTCCCAGTTCCCAAACCAAGTGGCGATGTCAGACTCTGCGTAGATCTAACTCAGTTAAACAGGGCGGTCCAGAGAGAAATCCATCCGATGCCATCAGTCTATGACAGCCTTGCCAAGCTGGGAAAAAGTCGCTATTTCACCAAACTCGATGCAAACAGCGGATTCTGGCAGCTCCCTCTCGATGAAAAGTCAAAATTGCTGACTACATTTGTTACTCCATTTGGTCGATACTGTTTCAATCGCCTTCCTTTTGGCATAAGTTCCGCTTCAGAGATCTTTCAGCGTACAATGTCTGAAATCCTCAATGGCGTCGAGGGAGTAATATGCCAAATGGACGATGTTCTCGTCCATGGAGCCAACCAAGAAGAACATGACAGACGAGTGAGAGCCACATTGCATCGTCTACAAGAGGCTGGCATAACCCTCAACATTGAAAAATGCCAGTTTTTCAAAACCTCGGTGAAATTCCTAGGTTCCATCATTGATGAACAGGGAATACATGCTGACCCAACAAAGACGAAAGCCATATCAGAGTTTCCACCTCCCCAAAATGCAAAGGACTTGCAACGCTTTATGGGGATGGTTAACCATTTGGGGAAGTTTGTCCCCCAGCTGGCTGAGAAGAGCGAGCCCCTGCGACAGCTGTTATGCAAAGACACTACATGGCTCTGGACAGACCCCCAGCAGAGAGCATTTGACCAGATTAAAACAACCCTTACATCAGCCGAAGTCTTAGCATGTTATGACCCCAGTCGACCAACCATCATCGCAGCTGATGCCTCCCTAAACGGTATCGGTGCAGTCCGCCTTCAGGTACAAGATGATGGGACCCGTAGACCCATTAGCTATGCATCGCGATCACTCAGTGATGCTGAAAAACGCTATGCTGTTATAGAGAAAGAGGCACTAGCAGGAGTCTGGGCATGTGAGAAGTTCAGTGAATATGTTGTGGGCATGAGTTTTGTCCTAGAGACTGACCACAAGTCCCTTCAAGCTCTATTCAACACCACTGAGCTGTCCAAGACCCCACCACGTATCCAGCGGTTTCGCCTTCGGTTGATGGAGATTCAGCGTCACTGTCAACCATGAAACACCACTTTACAGCGGATGCCCTCTCCCGTGCGCCCGTAGGAAGCTCCACAGAAAAGGATGAGCACTTTGTAGAGGAGGTGGAAAGCTTCGCAGCCCAAAAAGTGTTCACACTTCCAGCAACTACACAGCGCCTGTCACAGATACGAGAGGCCCAAATCACAGATGAAGAATGCGCGCAAATCAGGAACTACTGCAGCCAAGGATGGCCTGCGTATATGCCAAACCAACCCTTGCTACGCCCCTACTGGGAAAACAGAACCCATTTCAGCATTGTTGATGACCTGCTTCTCTGTGACGAGCGCCTAGTGATTCCTAAGTCAATGAGACCGGAGATACTCGAATGCATTCATACTGGTCATCTTGGCATATCCAAGTGCCGAGCTAGAGCACGAGCATCGGTATGATGGCCGGGGTTCCCTATGCAGATTGAAAACATGGTGACAAATTGTAGCACCTGCGCCAAAGATCGCCGTGAGCCCACAGAACTACTCATGTCAAGCTCTTTCCCCTCCCGACCATGGGAGAGATTAGCTGCTGACCTCTTTGAACTTGCGGGAAAGGTCTATTTGATTGTTGTTGATTACTACTCAAGGTGGTTCGAGATCAGGAGACTAAACGACCAATCATCTTCCAGAGTCATTTCAGTCCTAAAAGAACTATTTTCTACGCATGGCATACCTGACATTATTGTATCAGATAATGGCCCGCAATTCAGCTCCGATGCATTTCGTCTGTTTACCCCTGAGTACGACTTTATTCATGTGATAAGCTCACCAAAATACCCAAGAGCCTATGGGGAAGTCGAAAGGGCGGTCCGCACGGTCAAAGCACTGCTCCGCAAGAATGAAGACCCGTATCCAGCCCTCCTTGCTTACCGATCTACACCATTGCAGAATGGTTTTTCACCCAGCGAGTTGCTCATGGGGCGCCGCCTACGAACTAAAGTTCCTGCCATGCCCAGCATCCTCAAACCTAATGTGCAAGATACAGACCGGCAAAGAGTGCAACTGAGAGAGGACGAATACAGGTCAAAGCAACAGATCTACCATGACAAACGACACCAAGCCCGTGCTCTCCCATCATTGACCACTGGCCAGCAAGTTTGGGTGCGAGACCAGAACCGGGAAGGTCAGATCTTGGGAGCCACAAAACAACCAAGGTCCTACTTAGTGAAGACTGAGATGAGCACTTTGCGACGTAACCGGTCCGCTCTAGTCCCAACCAGTTCACAACCAGCCTTTCCCACTGACGGGCCAACTATGGTACCTCAGGATAAAGCACTGCCCGTGAACCACACGCCTCCAAGGGTTTCTACCCCCGTCTCAGAGAACCAACCGGCTGAACCTACAACGCCTACTACTTGTTGATCAACAACAGCTGTGTCAACCCAAGGAGGCCCTCCAAATGGTGACCGCTCTACAACCGAGTGTGTGACCCGCTCAGGACGAATAGTGAAACCACGGCAACGGCTAGACCTGTGAACATTTACCTATGCAAACTGGCATTAACTTTTTGTATTAGTATTGTTACATTCTTGTTGAGTTTACTGAACTGTGTACACAAGGTTAAACTCAAACTTTGGGGGGAGATGTTGGATTAGTTGCTTATTACATCAGACTTCCGGTGTTTTAGTTAGCAAGGCCCCGTTGCATGTTGGGAGCCATGTGCTTTGATGTTCGGCCATCTTGTATGTACTTCATCTGTGTGCGGAATAAATCTTCACCTTAAAGCCTAAATATTACATTCACCGTCCAAAGAAAGTCGTGTCCGATAGCCCGGGGCTAGTGGATTTTGCGATCGGGCTAGTGAATTCTGTGCTTAACTTGCCCGAAGAGCAAGTGAACGCTTTTCAGAGAATTAAAATTACAGAAGTACTGCAAGAAAAAAATTTCAAATTCCTAATAAATTTATTCGAACCGAAAGTAGCTCCGACGAAGTGAAATCTGCTTAAACAAGGCCAAGTATCGCATTACATGTCGGACGAGACATATTGAGATCCCGTGCATAAAATAAATAAGCAGATATTGAAGAAAACTTTGGAGGTAAATGTTGCCGTGACTAATTCTTACTAATTCAGAGAAAGCTGTTTGGCTTAATTTTTCTTCATAATCATTTGTGAGGAACGTAAACAAAAGGTTTTGATCCTGAAATTCAGTGAGAGATTTATTGGTCTATTGATTGGTCATGTGTGTTTCAATATGGTAAATTCTAAACACCGACACCGTAAGTGTTTCTTGATTAAAATATATAGTGCACATCGTATTGTTTTCACTTTCACGAAAATCTTTCAGATGAAAAGCTGCCTTTAATGAAACGAACATTTTTGTTCTTTTGAAACGTAAAACCCTTTGTTACTTGGAGAAGCAAACTGATGAAAGCTATCAAATTTTTATCCCCTTTAATAATATAAATATCTTTCCTGTCAGCTGCTAAGAAATACTCAGCGGGAAATTTTTTTGGCGGCAAATTGGAGAAGGAAGCGCTTACACTGGGAGCTTTTCGCTTTGTCGACGTTGTCGTGTAGTGTGTCCATTGAGAACTCTGGTTTCAAGGTTTCAAGGCCGTTTTTTTTTCTCAAAAAAAAAATGTTTCTTTATTTAAAATGTCTACTATGCACGTTGATCATTCACGTGTTGCGGTGGACTTAGAAAAAATTCTACAGTGTGGCAGCGCCGAGAGCAAAACAGCTCTTTTTTTTTCTGCTTGCGAAAAAATTTTTCCGGGCTAATAAGCATGAAGAGTGTCTAATTGTCGCGTCTCGCGGGTCGCGTGTAAATTGTAGCGGGTCGCGGATTCAGAAAATTGTCGCAGGGTCCAAAAATGGAACTTTCATCGTAAAAATTGAACCTTTTTTATTTCGACCTAATAACAAGTAATATGCTAATAACAAATTTCAAATTGTAATTGCTTAAATTTTGTAAATGTTCATTTTTTCATTGCGAAAGAATATTTTTGTTTGCAAGAGGAAATGAACAAAAAATTCAAACACATCGATCTCAAGATCTATTTTCAGTCAACTGAATTGCAAATTGGCAAGCCACTATCTTTGATAGCTGCTATTGTAATGTCTGTAAATGAACTGTCAGCTCTGATTTTATCCGGTGATTTTAAATTGGTCCAATGTGGTATCTTGTTTATGCATTGTTGCTTCGGACAAAAATAAAACATTGCTTCTGAAACGAAATTCTGTTTATAAAGGACATAAAAGTCCTTTAACGGTGACGGTAACTTCGTCTTCAATTTGTATTTTTCTACAAGCCCGGCATCTTAGTGCTTTTCCTCTATTTTTTTTTGTTTTTTTTTCTTCTTCTTTTCTAGAGTCCAGACTTGTTGGGTTTTACTTCGAGGGTCATTTGAAAGGTCCTGTATTATTTCTCTTCTTGTCTTTGTAGTGGCCTTTTTATATTCAAGGTTCTGCGGTATAAAGAGTAAAATGTATTTGGGTGCATCTTTAGGGCAAATGGAGCTGGATTATTTTTGGAAAGGAAAATTTGAGGGGAAAAGTGAAACATTTATTGTGTGAATTGCCAGGCCGTGACAGTCACGTAAGTCATGCTCATAGTTGACTGTCAGTTATGATTGATCAAGGCTGAATTGCGCAAACAGTCTGGTAATGCAAGTTCAATTTTTATCGCGTTGTTTGCTTCGAAGAAGAAAAGATAAAGAGAGAGGACCACTTACCTTTCAGAGCAATCACCTGTAGGTATCAGTAGACCGCTATAGCATGCAGCAAGACTCTGGAAAGATAATTATAACTATTTCCAGACAGACGGCGCAAACCTAACGTGGTTTTTGTAGGAAAATTATCTCCGGCTTTGTCGTTTCTTTCAGCCAAAACAGAGATGCTTGGCTCGGGTGATCAATACAAAATAAGCCTGAACGATACCACGAAAAGTAGACAACAGTTTAAAACGACAAACGGAAAAAGTTCTAACGATTCAGAGCTTTTTTCCGGATCACCGGATCACCAGATAACCGGATCACCGGATCACCGGATCGAGGATCGAGGATCGAGGATCGAGGATCGAGGATCGAGGATCGAGGATCGAGGATCGAGGATCGAGGATCGAGGATCGAGGATGGAGGATCGAGGATGGAGGATGGAGGATGGAGGATGGAGGATGGAGGATGGAGGATCGAGGATCGAGGATCGAGGATCGAGGATCGAGGATCGAGGATCGAGGATCGAGGATCGAGGATCGAGGATCGAGGATCGAGGATCGAGGATCGAGGATCGAGGATCGAGGATCGAGGATCGAGGATCGAGGATCGAGGATCGAGGATCAAGGATCAGTTCAAAATGAATCAAATAAATTAAATAAATTAATAGGCATGATTGATTTCTCATCCATGTGACTCAGTCAAGATCTCTCTCTGTTGACAGACAGGCGTTGTTTTTTAGCCCTTCCCCCATCCACCGACTTTCACGCAACCCCCAATTACGCTTGATCGCAAGTTAGATTAGAAACTGTCTATTCTCAATTCCAGGGTAGTTTTCGGGGATTGTAATTGATAGTCAAAGCGAACGTCTGTAATTTTATTCTTTTACCAGAGAAATGAAAAGATAACTTGTTTTTTGTCATTCAAACAAATCTTTCTTCTGCACAGAGACATGTGTAGACACGACCAATGGACGACAAAATCGCCATTATTTTCCAACTCTTTGCATTTTCAACCAAGCATTTGTCGATCTATCATATAATTCCCAGGTTTTCTCCTTGACATTGAGCTGGATATTTCATCTGCTTGCGAAAAAGTGGTTAAAAAAGTCACGTTCACGAGTTTACAGACACCAAACAGACAACCCGCTGCGAGTCGTTCGCATGTCTGAGTGAAAATCTGTGACGTCATTTGTTCGCAGCGCTGAGGTTCGAAACAGCTCCTGTAGATATTATCTTTCTAACTCGAGCACTGTGTTTACTGAAAATACTGTGAATATGGATTTGTCGTCATCTCCCGCTAGTGACAGCGAAAATACTTGCAGATTCTTTAGCACTTCTGCTTTTGCGCACCATGCTTAACCGTTGGTGCGGTTCTCCTGTGAAAGCTATCGAGAATCAGAGAATTGGCAAACGTCAGGGTCCTTTATTCTGTCGGAAGTGATCAAAAGTGTGGGACTAAATTTTCTGCCGCTGTGCTCTCTGGTGACAAAAAAAAGTAAACACAAACTCCTCGTTAGTCGTCAGTTACTTTCTTTTAAAAAAATCACGTAAGACTAAGAACTGATTCAGTTCTCCAGTGTGTTTTCTTGAGATGTTCGACTTGTTGCCTCCATGTATACTCCAGGGGACTCACAACAACAACTCAGTGGAGCGATACAATTTTATCACTTTCCGAGTCATGTCTCTTGTCAAATCCCGTCGTAAAAACGACTGAAACGTTTTCTTCTAAGCAAGTGATTCTTCAGATGCATTCTGCTTTTCCTTTAAGGATACGAGGTCCGTAAAAAATTTTGAAGAGATGAAGTTAAAGCAGCTGAAAATTTGCTGTTCACTCCGGCAGTCGTCAAAAACGGCCTCATGTTTTGAAAGTGCACCGGAAGTCAGAGACGCAATCTCATACCGACACTCGGGATAATTTAGAAATTTCATGTGAATATAGCATTTGCACAAGTCAACCCTCTCTGTAGCTGTGAGTCTTCAATAGCAGTCCTAACAGTCGGTAGGCGAGAATTGACACTTCCACAAAGTCGTATGGCTTTTTAAGTATTTAGTTTTTTCTCTTATTTTCGCTTTAACATACGGGAGATCTTGACTGAGTCACGTAGATGAGCAATCAATCACGCCTATTATTTAATTTATTTGATTCATTTTGAACTGAATCTTGATCCTTGGTCCTTGATCCTTGGTCCTTGGTCCTTGGTCCTTGGTCCTTGGTCCTTGGTCCTTGGTCCTTGGTCCTTGGTCCTTGGTCCTTGGTCCTTGGTCCTTGGTCCTTGGTCCTTGGTCCTTGGTCCTTGGTCCTTGGTCCTTGGTCCTTGGTCCTTGGTCCTTGGTCCTTGGTCCTTGGTCCTTGGTCCTTGGTCCTTGGTCCTTGGTCCTTGGTCCTTGGTCCTTGGTCCTTGGTCCTTGGTCCTTGGTCCTTGGTCCTTGGTCCTTGGTCCTTGGTCCTTGGTCCTTGGTCCTTGGTCCTTGGTCCTTGGTCCTTGGTCCTTGGTCCTTGGTCCTTGGTCCTTGGTCCTTGGTCCTTGGTCCTTGGTCCTTGGTCCTTGGTCCTTGATCCTTGATCCTTGATCCTTGATCCTTGATCCTTGATCCTTGACCTGTTTTCCCAGGAAACCGGTTGATGGAGCTTTTACTCAATCGAACAAACTATTTTTATTGGTTTTTCGACTGAATTTTTGTAAGTCTAAATTTTAGCGCTAGGCCGCGGCGTTTCTTCACTTTTTTGTCATGTGGAAGCGAAACTGCCACGTAAACACTGGACTTTAATTTTAATTGAAAATATTGCGTTTACGACCTCTACTGTTGAGTTATGCGTGCGCCTTTTGAGTCAACTTGTGCACCATCAGTTGCTTCACGTTTACCTTTGTGTATTCAGTATGTACAAGACTAAAGCTGTCAAAAGTGTCAAACCATCTAAGTTCACATTCTGCGATAGTTTACAAACTAAAATAGTTCGGCAGGTCGAATTTAACACTTTTGCCTGAAGTTTTTAAGTCTCTAATACAGAATCTTGAAATGAAATGTGTAGTGAAATTCAGCCGAATTATGGCTCATAAAAACACGCGAGTTTTTTCACATGACAAGGTAGAAAACAAACTGCTCAAGGCGAGTGTTTTTTGAATGAGCGACAGCCGAATTCACCGGAACATTAAGATCGCTCGGGATGACAGCTCCGCAAAACTCGGCTGCAGTGACTAAGGTGACTTTCCACTCAATGCATCGGAAAGGATATCAGAGCAAGCTCTTATTTTTTCATTCGAAGGGCGGCCGATGTAGTTTCTGAGGCTTGCTTTACTGTGATAACCGGAGATCGCCATGATGAGCGAGCCGCGATGGACTTCGGCATGATCATATTCGCTCAGACACCGTCATGATTAGTATGAATTTTAACAGTTATGCCGGTTTGGTTATATTTTTCATCATTTCTGTTTTGTTCTGTTTTGTTTTTGAACACTGAACTTTATATACCATACGAGTGTTAGCTGTGTTTGATTTTTATTACCGTAGGTAAGCTTGCAATCTAACTAAGCCTAAAAATCTTTAAAACTCGGAATGTCTATTTTGTTTTTCCTTTGAGGATTTTCGTATCTGCTCACGTTTTAATAACGTAAATCACGGCGCCTGGTATGCGTACAAACGTTTGTTTGGTTATTCTGTTACTACTTGCCGGCTTGCTTGTTCCGAAATTTCACTTTCAATTATCGGAAAAAAGCTAAAAAGAAGTCCCGGAAAAGGTCGAACATAGTACAATTTGGCAGATAGCGTGACAGCTTTAGCCCAGCTCTATGCTCTATACTCTCATAGAGCACGCTCTTTCAGTCAATGACAGCGCGCGTTATATCCTAACTTTATTATAATTCATAATAACAAAGAGCCAGTTTCTCCAGACATGACCTAGATAATTTACTTGAATTACGAAATGTGTGTGTTTTCATTTTGGCTTATGCTGGTTTATTCCGAACTGAGGAGGTTCTTCATAATAAATAAGGAGACATATTTTCACAGCGACCACGTAACTATTAATGTTGACAGAAGTTGACAGATCAACTTAGCAAAGGGAGCCAAGTCGTAATTTCAGAGAGATCTACTATTCCTACCCGTTCTGTAAAAATTTTTAGGCGTCACGTTATTTAAGAGAGGTTGAAAAGTATTGCCGCGAACGGTGATTAACATATGAAATATGAAACTTTAATCCAAAATCCGTCACGAAAGCTTTGAGAAAACTCTCACAACATTTTACATTGTTTCACCTAACATCATGAGACCGAGAAAATCGAAAAAATTAACGTGATAAAGAGGTTTAAACTCGGTGGCCTCGTGGCACAGTTCCAGGATGTCCGCCACCGCGCATGCACAAAAACTTAAATGTCCCGTATGGGTAACCAAGACGACAGCTGGGCGTCGACAAGCCGCAACAAAAAGTTTCCTGTCAAGGCTGGCCATTAGGTCTCAACATGTCCTCCTCACCTAAATTATCTGACATCAATAATTGCTAATATGAACTAAATTATCAGATATATATAATCTAAATGAAGTGTGTAGCACTGGTACCTAGGAAGGTATGTCCGATTGAGGACTGGGTTTCATTCCTGTAAAACATGGCGGAATCCACGGAATCAAGTGAGTAATGACCCTTTTTGACGTTTTTCAGCAAAAGCGTTCCTTTTCCTCTTGAGTTGTACTATTTATTTTTAAAATGAAATTCATCTAGATTGTGGCAAAAAACGAAAAAAGCGACCTATGCTTTTAGAGGTGCTGGAAACAGCTCGAAAAATACTGAGAAGAGATGACCACGGGCAACCCTCTCCTTCTGCATCAACTGGCACGGTTATGAGAACTCGAGCCCCGGCAGTGTACCATTTTTCGAAAGATTCACGTACAGGACGACGCAAGACTCACTGCCAATATCGCTCAAGAAGCAGCGCAGCAGCCAGCAAAAACGTACTTCAGCTGACAGACGTCGGACTCGCGAATGATACCGACGTTCTAGGTATTAACACTAGTATTAATCAATCCTAAATTAGCTTGAGCGATGTAGTACATGTATATCTTTAAGCTTAATTATTAAGATCGGGTGAAGATGTAAGCTTCTTGGACACGTGTATTCCTTTAGATCCTTTTTAATGTTTACATATTAAGGATTTACTCGGACTTTATATGGGATTGAGTCTCTATTCTTTATTAACTCGATAATTAAGTTCTACTGCGAGGGAGTTTTAATAAACCTTCTTCTTCTTCTTCTTCTTCTTCTTCTATAATAATGTATAATGTATAATTATAATAATGAACGATTATCCTCTGGTAGTTAATGCGTAGCTAAACACCACAGGGTGCTGTAGAAATCCTACAAGATAAGCCAATCAAATATCTCGATTCATGAAAGTTACTTTTGGTATCTTTTTCCTTTGGTTATCAATTACATGCATCTCGCCTTCGGTGAAACTGGTCATGGCCAAGAACAAAATATACAAGGGGCGAAGCCCAAATGTGGAGCGGTATTTAAATAGTTGTGGCCGCGAAGTAGATATCTCGGGGCTAATTGCGCCAAATCTTGCTGCTGGAGCGAGACTCGCAGCCAAAAATGAGAGTCAGGCTCTGGACGAGAAGACTTCCAGAACATACGAGCTACGGCTCATCGCACTGGAGCAGTTCGCGGCACAGAACGGAGATGATGCCATTCTTTTCGGCCCAAACAAAAGGCCCTTTTTAGCGGCCACATTGCAAACCTTCATGCGTAAGTATTACTTTTCAGCACCGATCTAGTAATTACAGTAATCGCAAGTTTCGAGTTCTCCAATGCACATTTGGTTATGTCGGCGTTCTTTAAAGAACTATTTGATCAACGCTGTTTAGTTCGTACGCAGTGTATTCCTTAGATATTTCGTTGGTTATGACAAAATTAGCTGAAATAATCACGCTGTTATTGGTTTTTATTCGTGAGGGATCATGAGGCCGACGAATTTAGGCTCGCCGGATGTGCAACTGAAACACGCGGTGACGTGTGAAATTCTAAGTTTTCAACTTTAAATGCAATTGTAGTTTAAGATAAAAGTAGGTGTATTTACACTATTTTTAACTGACTTCCGTTTATAGAACAATGTCGAACAATTTCGTTCTCATAAGTGATTATTTACACACATTAACATTACGCAGTTTGCAATAACGCAAAACCTGGTAAAAGAACAGTAAGAAACGCGATTGAAAAATGTGTTACATCTAATAGAGCCATAAATTGCGTTAACGCAATATATGGTATAAAAAGTATGGACTATAGCCTTTACTTTTTATACCACATATTGCGTTAACGCAATATATGGTATAAAAAGTATGGACTATAGCCTTTACTTTTTATACCACATATTGCGTTAACGCAATATATGGTATAAAAAGTAAAGGCTATGGTCCATACTTTTGAAACCACAGTTTGCAATAACGCAAAACCCGGTTAAAGAATAGAACTGAGACATATTTTAACGCGATCGCAAAATGTGGTAAATCTACTAGAGCCATAAATCGCGTTGACGCAATACATGGTATAAAAAGTGAGGGCTATATTTTGAAACTATAGTTTGCTGGTGAATGCATTGTAAGACATTGTTTGAAACGCAAAGAAAAAAATGTGCTTGTTTCACTTGCAGGGATTGTAATTAGACGCGGTAGAAAAAGGTCAACATGTGCTTTGTGTGGCACGCGTAGGCCAGGTTACCCAGGTCCTCGGTCCGTTCAAGATGGCGACGACTTTACGAATTAACTGATCTATGGAACTTAACGAACACACTTGAATTAGGGAATGTAAACAGTCTAACTGTTTACGAATGAGAAGGATTTCGCTCCTTATGAGAAATTCATAAAAGCTGCCACTCTTTTTTGAGGCCTTTCTGCAGGGAGACCAAAAACCATGCGAACTTATGTTTTTCTCGGCATGAGAAATCTGCAAGCAAATATTATTTTTGGTCTGTCGGTTTAAACATAAACGTGTTTTAAGATGGTAAGACAAGGAATATATGGTGTGGAGGTCAGTTTAAACGAAATACTCTGGACTTCAAGAAACTTATAACTATACCCAATTAGATAAGAACTGTGCGAGTTTAGGCAAATGTGCAAATGTGCTTATAATAATCTTAAAACATTTTTTTTTCAGAGGTGATGGGTGAAACAAAAGGGAAGAAAATTGGCACATTACGTTGTCGTGGGCTCAAGCCTCCTGTTATCAGGGGCTATGCAGCCGCCTTTAATTATTGGTTCTGTGCGTTTGGGCACACGGAGCAATACAGCGAAGCCATTGTTACTGCTGAAGATGGCTCTCAACGAGTTGTGCCAAAGGGAAATCCCATGTCGTCACCTGGTAGGTTATAAAATGATTCATGTATAGTCTTACACATCAGCTTGATGCTGTTAAATATAAAAGGAAATGCTCATTTCTCTTCCTGTTTTATTGACCATTTCCTTAATTTTCATGAGCTCAATGTTGTCTCTACTCTCTATGATTTAGTTTACCCTTGAATGTTCTCTGCTTCTGACTGGTTTAGTAATAGTTTGGCTGATAGTGTTCATCTGGGGAGGGCACTATCAGCCCATAGCACCAGTCAGAGGGTAATACCTGGATGGATAAAAGTCATCCACTGACTGGAAAACCCCACTAAACTCACTGCATTTGGTGGGTCTCTTGCCGGTTTTTTTTTTCATTTTTCATTCATTTTTTTTCATTTGTTAAATGTCAGCTTTCAAATCATTCATCCAGAAAGTTAAAAAAATAATTTAGGGTCATTGTTTTTAAAATTGGCATGCCTTGTCTTGGAACTATCGGTTTGATAGCTGCTTCTTGGAAATTTGATGTTCTAAAATCTAGCACGTTAGCTCTTGAAGCTTCATTTATCAAGCTAATATATCAATGATAGTGTCTACCTGTGGAGGGCACTATCATCTTATAGTGCCTATCCCAGAAAAATGCTCAGATGGATAGTGCCCTTCCTTGAAATTTTCTGTAAACAAGCGGGCCTACAGCCCCAAAAAACTGACCAAATTCACTGTATTTAGTGTGTTTGTTGTCTGTTTTTTTTTGTTGTTTGTTAAATTTCGGCTTTCAATTGAGTCTTTTATCCTGAAAAGTAAAAACTAACTCACAATGCTCATATTTAATTGGGTGCACATATCCAAGGGGCAACTATCAGTCTGATAGTTGCCCCTTGGAAATTTGATGTTCTTAAAACTAGGATATTATCCCTCACAACTTAACCTCTTGGGCTCATATTTGTTTTAAGAACATTAAATTTCTGTGGGGTAACTATCAGTAGATAGTTCCTTGACAGAAACACTCGACTATTGTTTAATAGTTCCTGTATGTAAACCATTTATTTAAATATTTTGAGGAGAATGTGATGCTGGTCACCCTCAGGGGTTAAAGAGTTTTGAATAGGCAGGTTGCTTTAATTTGCAATTCACATTCCTTAGGTCACAAGCACAGATCGGTGTGTTAATGATATAGTGTTCTAACCCTCAAATAGTTGTTTAGGGCTAGGTGAATTTATTTATTATGTTTATATATATTAATAGCACAGCCACCTGTGGAATGATGTGTAAAAGAGACCTGCTGGTTTAGAATAATTTTTTTATCTATGTGTCATAGATGTTACTCAGATGATAAAGCAGCTTGTGAAGAGGGCCACAAGACCTACTGCTAAGGACACCCGGCATGGAAGGGTGCCTTATGAGCCCAAGAAGGCACCACCATTTACCCTTCAGCAGCTATTGCGCATGCGTGCATACTGCCTTAATACAATAGAGGTAATCAGAAATAAATAATAAAATTAAAGGAGGGAGCATAACTAGTTGGTAGGGAGGGGTCAGACATAATCATTTTGAGGAAGCCCGTGAGCTCTGTTTTTTGTTTCAGGAGAAAATGGACTAGTAGTTCTAATCGGTAATGCTATGTTATTCACCAGTACAATACCTATCTATATGATACAAAATTGTTTACTTTCATAGGGTTTACGAGGTATATGGTTATGGACTGTTACATTGTTTTCCTTTGCACTGTTCCTGAGAGGGGAGGAACCTCTTCGTCTCAAGCTGAAGAACTTGAGGTTACCTGCCAATTTCACCTTAGGTAATGATTAGTGTATAGCTTGTCTTGCACAACAATGAAGTATATGTAACATTTATCACAAATTTATTTTAAAAGCCAATTTCATAATTTACTGTATACATTTTTTACTCCTGACTTGATATCTGAAAGGGCTGGGCAAGTAATTACTACTACAAATCTGTTTTTATAAATTTCTGCTTTTGAATTGTTTTATTAATATTGTTAATGACCATTAATATAATATCTTATTTTCAGGTGATCCCATTACATTGCCAAAGCGAATTGAGGTAAAAATACCATGGTCAAAGGCAGATAGAAAAGCCAAAGGTGGGTATATATGTGTTACAGGTCAAAATTAGCCTTAGGTCATTTTTCCAACCAGGTTATTTTTTTTGACCTAGTTTATTTTTTTATACTAGATGTATAAGTAGAAATTTAAAGTTAAAACACCTCCCTTCCATCACTGTCTCTGAACCTCCCTCCACCATCCTTCCTCACCCTGTGGAAAATATTTCATAAAGTATTGCTAATGAAGTCATACTTTAAATGTGTGGTTCCAGAAAATGTCCAAACTACCCCCACAGAAGGGATTGGAAATTCTTGGTGGTGGGGTCTCAGAGACCAAAACCTTTTAAGGAAATGTATGAAGCTCAATTGGAATTTCTAGGGGGTGAGGGTCTTATGAAAAATCTCTTTTGTGGGATAGGTAGGGATAATTTATGGAACTACACACTACGACATGGAGCAGAGTATTTTTGATGAAATTTAAGGTGTTCAGATAAATGATGTAACACTGTCTTGAGTGTTTAATACATTCTTTGCATTTGAAACAATGATAAATTATTAATGAGTTTAAAAAGTTTATACTGATTTTTAAATATTTTCTTACAACATGCTGTCATTATTCATGTCTTAGGTAAAGTCATCAATATAAATATCAAATTGTTTAGTGTAAATGGAAGCAATGAGGATGGTGTTAGAGTTCCTGGATCGGTAATCAAACCTTGCTAAATCATGGTAGCAATTGTAGGTATCGTTAAGGGGGCCCAAGATAACCTCTAAAAACCCTACAAAAAGGTTTGGTTTGGAAGGGTTTGAGGCGGGCTTTACCATTCTAAGAACTGATCATCAATCATTTGATTTCAGGTGTTACACTTACCCTGTGGAGTAACCCTTTCAACAAACAGTTGTGCCCTGTGACTGCTCTTATTGCATGGTTACTTGTAGCAGGTTTGTAAAGAATTTATTTGAATTTTGTGTTTTAGTTCAACATTATCCTTGGTTCTATTTGTATTTTTCTTTGTTTGACATTTATCAACCTATAAGGGAGCAATGATGAATCAAAACTGAATCAAGAAATAAAATTGAACCACAGCATTTTAACACAGTCAAAGCACTCCTTGCAACCTCTCCTAAGCAACCAGCTCTGGTTACTGCCACTACACCTTATGTAAACCCTGTTTTAATTATTATACAAATTCTGCAATTAAAGCTGTCATAGGGTCCAAGCACATCTGTTTTTGTGAACTACCAATTACCGTAATTTCCGGTCGATTACCCGCACGGCCGATTACCCGCACCGGCCGATTATTGCATACGGCGAAAAAAAAAGTCAACGGATTACCCGCACCGGTGGATAACCCGCACGTTGTTATTCAACTTTTTCGGTGGTGAAAACGTGACATTAAGGCGATACATTTCAGTCTTTCGATTCAGACATGTGCACAATTCTGTGTCAATATTAGCTTATACTTTATTGATTGATTATTGCTGCTGCTCTATTACCGATTTCATCGGCAAGAGTTATTACTCTAAGCTTATAATCAAACGTAAAACTGTGACGTGGGCGTTTCACAGCAGGCATTTTAACTTAATTGGTGACTCGTGGATACACTTATCGCGAATGATCGAGGTTTATAATTCTTATTCAGTCAGTTACCTTTTTATAGCATGTAGGAGCGTAATGAGCAATATCCATTGTTCATTTGTCGTTAAAATACTTTTTCAGCGCGAAATTAGTTAAGTTTCGCACCTATTATTTTCAACATTCTGGTGATGCATTTGGGATTTAAAATTACTGTCGGCAATTTCTCAAAAAAATCGATATCTCCTGTTCTACTGGGCCTAACAAGTCCCTTAAAACGGGAAAATTCTCTTTAGCTCAAGCTAGTGAAAACTGGAAATTTGTTACTGATGCGCCGGATATCCTTGGATTATTTTTGTCACCATCTAGGTTTTGTTTTCACGCGTGCCGATAAAAATTTGTTTGTCACGCAACTAATTATGCGTGAAATAAACTCGAGTTGGCATCATGTTTTCGTGCCGCTTTGTGGCACTTTTGATACAATAAAATTCATTTGAGAGGTGGAAACGCAGGTAGGTGAGAAATTTTTTCAATTCAACTTCCAGAAGAATTTAAAATTGTCACATAACCCGCACCTCCCTATTACCCGCAGTGGCGCGGATTTAATGCAAAATCAACAGATTACCCGCGGGTAATCGACCGGAAATTACGGTAGTCTTTTCCTTTGTTTTTAGCCTTCCATTTTTGCAAGCAACCATTTATAGTTATGACCACATTTTTGAATTCCCGGGGTGGTTACTTTTGGCTTGCATAGCTGGCTGGATTTTTCAACCAATTGCTTTTTTTTTTTTTCAAATGGAGCAGCCAGGCTGCAAGGAAGAGTCAGGTGTCCTGCCAGCAACTTTGTCCACAGTTTCCCTTGAGCCCCATAATTCCACTATTCACTTGCAATATCGAGCTTTCACCATGTAATGGTGGATTTAGGGGAGGACTCCCCTTTAATATTTATACTGCTCTATAGTGGTGTTGTTTACATAAGAAAAGTTCATGTCTTAAAAGCAACTAGTTTAAAAAATGCTTTTAATCACCTTCAGAATTTTGAGCACCTGCTAAGTTGATCTTTTGTATGTGACCTTCCCATTCAAGTTGTATTAATGGCCATCCATTTGTAGAAAAGGCATCAAATTTCATCAACTCATCAAGTGCCCCCCATTAGTAGAGGGTTTTGACCCTTGGCTACAGATTCCTTACACTTTAATTTAGTTATTCACTGACTTTGCAAATAGCATTTTTTTTTCCTGGTTGGATACATTTGGTATCTTTCAAAATGAACTTGTCTAGCAAAAACTGATCATATTATTTTCATATTTGACTGAAGATATTCGTGGGGGTTACCTTTTCCCAAGGGTTGGGAAAAATAACCGTGCTGTCCTGCGAAACTGTGCCCGTGGGGTCACCACCTACAGGAAAACCTTTCTTGAGGTACGATGTATACAGTTTAAATTTATCTGTAACTAATTTAGTTAAAAAACTGTATCTGTTCATGCTGTTAGATAACCATCAGCTAGGAGAAGCAGCCAGAATACATGCTTCATTCAGCTACTTAAACTAATTTCCTGAATTTCAATATTATTTAGATGTCCAAGGCTCTTTTTGAGAAGGAATTCACGACACACAGCATCAGACGATCAGCAGCTCGATGGGCTGCTCGTTGTGGGGCAGATGATAGTACCATAAAAAGAGCAGGGAGATGGTATGTTACATGTGAATTAAAAAATCTATGTTCAAACTTACATGTACACAAGTGAAAAAGCCTTTTTGTTTTTGTTTTTTTTTTTTATACAGCCAAGAGTGCAGTGTATCATGAAATTCATGAGATGACAAAATAAAACAGAAGATTGTATCATTCTATAGTTTGAATAAAGTTTATGTAGATGTAATGCATCATTACATTATCATTTTAAAATGGGCAAGATGTTTATATTAGTGACGTGCAAAAATCTTGGTCTATTGTTATGAGGCCAGTAAAGCTTTCTTATCTTCAATTAAAAAGCAAAATGCATTTTTTAATTCATGTATGAAGTGAATAATCAAGTATTCTGTTAAAAGTAACAAAAGTTTCAGGTTTAAAAGGGATTCAGTTCTGTGACAAGAAAATGCCAATGTGCAACAAGGTGAAACATGCACAGGAATAAGCACACAAAAACACTTTCTTTTACTTGTGCTTATGCTTATTTCACAAGGTGGAACCAAGGTGAAATAAGCTCAAGGACAAGCACAACTTTGGTAGTTGACCTATCTCCTATCATGCAGTATCCATCAGAATTGTGAAAACACTGCACTTGTGCATGGTGTCTAAGGTTGTGCTTATCACAACTGTGAACACCTTTTGTGGTTATGCTAGCACTTATGCTTGCACTTATGCTTGTGCTCATCCCAGAATAATTGTAAACCAGCCTTAAGTAAACTGGAAGCCCCTTTTCTTTCTTTTATTGTTCCATTGCATTCAGTTGGTTAGCTCATTGTTGAAATTCAACTGTCCGTTTACTTACTTCATTTTAATCTATTCTAGTATTTGCAGTGAGATTCTTGTTTAAAAAAAATATGTGTCAATGAAGAATAATCATTTTGGCTTGACTGATTATCGGTTTTCCTTTCTTTCAGGAAATCCAGTAGCTTTGAACTGTACACACAAGATGCTAGAGCAGAAATGATAAAGGAACAACATGATGGAAATCCAATATTTGATCATAAAATGTGGATGTTTAAACCTCTACGGTAGTTCATGGCCCTTTTGCAAAAAAGTACTTGTGGATTCTCATTGTTAAATGCATCCTTTGAAAAGTACAGATCTTGTCGTTAGCTTTGCCATTTGAGGTGGCTGATTAAAATTTTATGCTTTCTTATCACTGTGTACTCTGAAGAGTAAGCAATGGATTTCATTATAAATGTATTACTACATTTGAAATGGTAATTTGCCCAACTACAGTCAAATCTCTGCTAACAGACACTTGCCCCTAGCAGACAGTAAGTTGTGGTCCCAGCCATGTACAAATACTACATTTTTGACCTCCCAAAAATGGACCTCCCTCTTAAGCAGACGCATTCACTCGTCCCAATGGTGTCTGTTTGTCTGTATCAGTGAATTGAAAACTGTTACTATGTTGTTAGAACAGTAACAGATTAGCAAAGTGAGTAAAAATAATAATGATATTATAATGATTTTATAATAACAATAACATCAAGTTGCAAAAATTTACAAATGAAATATTGGTAGAAAATTTTCCATGTTTGCAAAATAATGTTTAAGTTCAATAATTATCCGTTCCCAAGAATTTTTTGTACATTCTACATAAATTTTATTTTTAACATAACATTTTTCCAAAAAGAAATCAGTTACCATAATTGCTCATCGTGTTGTGCCAGATTCAATTTCCACACTTATTGTCATGTGTGGGTCAGTTTGGCACAAGGTGAATTTTATGTTACATTACAAGTCAAGTGTACCTCTTCAATTTTTTTAGGCCTTTTGTAAAGTTATTGCTTGTAACAAAGTGGTGCTGGCTGCTGATATATTATAGTCACTGGCATAAACTAATTATTCAGGGCAAGACTTTGGGATTTATTAAATCTTGTTAAAACTTAATTAACTTAAAATTTTAATGCTATCATCTTAGAGTTACAAATCTGAACATAACCTTGTTTTATTAGTAATTTTACTGATAGATGTGAATATGTGAATTTTCATATATCTAAATTCTTCATTCACTTGGATGTTTATTTGTACCCAATTCATTGACCAGCTCCCAGTTGGCTTGTTAGCTCAATTGGTAGAGCGCTGCACCGGTATCGCAGAGGTCATGGTTTCAAATCCCGTACGGGCCTGAATTTTTTTCAGGTCCTATTTACAACTACTAGTTTCAGTAGTGTTCTTAGCTGCGAGGATCTTCTAATTTGCAGATGTTACAATATTTAGCATAATGTTTCTAGTTGTGATTGGTCACTGTCTATATAGATATTACAACAAAAGAGGTTCTTTGACCAGTACAGTATCTCTGATATAAATGATTATTGAAGTACCCAAACTTGTAAAACTTTGTCGATTTAAACAACGTTTCACTAGCTTGGATACAAGGTTGTATTATCGCTGTATTTTCTGTATTTTCTGCAAAGCCTCAAATGAACATCCCAATGATCTTTCGCTTAACTTTAACAATGTAAGGACCACTTGAGCAAATAGCAATAAACTGAATGAAGTAATAAAAATATGCAATGCTAGGCTGCAAGCAATCCCTTTCTTTTTTTATGCGTGCGACGCATCTCAGGAACAAGAACCCACTGCGCACATTTTAATGTCGAACAGAAAAATCACCTTTTTGATTCGCATAGCATTTTAACGTAAAAAAAGCGTTTGAACGTGTTTTCATCGAAATATAGCAAGAACTGTTTGAACCAAATTAGTTGGAGGCATTATGCTTCCTTTTCCTTGATCTCAACTGCATTCGCATCTGAGGACTTGCAGGGCAGTATTCGGGTTCCTTGGGTGCGTTACCACCTTGCTCATTACCACGTTCGTCATCGTTCTTGTCAGCATTCTCATCATCACCCGCGTTTTGGTTGTTCTCGTGGATGTCATCGAAGTTTAAAATAGCCCGGGCTGTGGACATCTCGGAGGGTAATTCAGAAGCGAGTTCATTTCTGCAGCTTGGGCATGGCACCCCGCACCGATGACACACGGGGATGTTATCGAACCATGGTATGGTTAACGGCTCGTTTTCGGAGTAAGCTGCATTGCTCCCAGGAAGACGGGGATCCTTTCTCCGCCACTGATCCTGACACCATTCGACCAGTTTGGTTGTTGCTATTTGTCCAACTGCCGATTTTACTTCTTCACCAAGCAGCTGTGATTGCAAGTGATCGAAGGCACGTACCTCTAACAGTTTACATAAAAAATTAGCCACGACCTCGTGCATTTTCCATGTGAACTTTATGTGCGTGTTACGGGGTGATTCCCTTCCTGAAATTGCCTTGTAGCCGCTCATCAAAATAAATTGCCACACAGCAATATCGTACAGAGGACGCAGGAATGACAGTGGGTTAGAGGAAGGCATCTTTAATCGTATATTAACAACTGGCCACTGACAATCATTGACATTTATACAGATTCTCTGACCCAGGCAAAAACTTGTGACCTCGTGATTTATTTCCTATTTCCGGCCTTTTCATTGACTTCCATATTTGGATGGAGACAGTCAATGATGGTAACAAAGCACCCCTCGCAAATAAAATATATTAAAGTTCATACGGCAACCAGGTGGACAATCAGACATAGTTTGAAGCTACACTGGTTTGCAGATTTAATGAATGTAACCGAAGGAGTTACAATTCATGGACCCAACGTTTCGACACTCCTGTCTAGTGCCTTCACCTATTCACCCCTATTCCCGCACCAATCAGAAAACGAGCTCTTTGAGGTGCGAATATTGAAAATCGACAACGATGGAAAATAACATCTCGTCGAAATTCTCAATGGCGTCGTGTGCTACATCTTCGTCTGGGACAACAGGTTCGAAAAAGCGCCTTCCAGAAGAGCTGACAGAATTGCTAGATGTGGCAATTTATACCTTTGCCTGTCAGGCAGGATTGAGAGCGGGGCATAAGGTTAGAGGAAACCCGGTGTTAGAAGGGGTGAGCGCATTCTTTGGCCAGCTGATCGAAACCGCAAACGAGGATACGAAGAAGCAGCTGAAGGACATCTCCCCTGGAAGATTGGGAGGATGGCAACCAGGCGAGGCGCCATCGCCTCAACTCTTAACGTTGGTGTCCTCGCGAATAAAACTAATGAAATCGAAACAGTTAATAAGGGAAGACGATAACCCGGTGGTACCGTCCCTGTTGGTGGATAGGCTAGAGTGGTTTGACGAGGAGGAGGAAAGGGTCAGGACGAAAACGTTGGCCAGATGTTGGCGTTGCCAAAGTAGATGCAGATTTTGTTCGCGGAGGAGGCACGATTTCCCAAAATTTGGGCACTTTAGACCTGAGTAAGTTGCTTATTCATACAGTATACAGTATTAGGCTTATGATTTGTAATGAAGGCCATGTTACATATATACATACGTACATACATACATACATACATACATACATACATACGGTACATACCTACCATACTAAGGCTCCCTGAGCCTTAATAAAATCACCCCATTTTGGCAACCTGCAATGCTGCAAAATGTTGGTTTGCAAGTTGCACAAAAAAGTAGAACTGTCCTCTACTTTTCTCAACATTACCAGACAAGTTGTTGTGTGTGACATGTCAAACATGCAATTTGCAGCCTTTTGCATATTATTGCAAACAGAAATTGTGAGCATTGTGTAATATGGCCTTGAGGGTGTCAGTTCAACAGGGTAAAAATCACAATCTTTGAAAACCTCTGGTTGTACTTCATTAAATAACACATGTATTTCAGATTCACTAACAAAAAAATACAATTTCAACATGTAATTATCCTTTGGCTCATGAACAATTTTTTCGATGGGTGATTTATTGTCCTGCAGAACAGGCATTAGATCTAAGCATTTCAGTTGCCCATTTCATGAAAACACAAAAAACCTCCTAAGCCTGGTAAATTATTTTATGCACATGATGTTTAGACTAAAAATAAAAATTTTACTGGTTTTAAAAGCTAAGCAATAAAATTTTTCAAATAATACAAGAAAAGTCGGTCTAGACTGTAGGATAAAAACAAGACAGCAAGTATATAAATTTATATATTTCTTTTTCTGTACCTTTGAGACACAAACCCAGACTATTCCATGAAAACTTTTGGTTTCTAAACTCCATCAAACTCTTTCTTTCGATTGAGTTTGATTGAGTTTGATGGAGTTTGCAAATGCCATACAACAAAATCAAACCTCCCCCTCCCCCTCCCCCAAGAAGAAAACCATGATCACTTGAATTGATTTGATCGAGTATGTTTTGGTTTGATTGGTTTGGTCAGCGAACTTTAAAAAAGGTTCTGTGTTTGATTTTGTTCCCTGACTGAACTGCATTCAAATTGTTCTTTTGAGTGATGTCATTAAGTTATGTTAAGTCTGATTATTTTTTTTTATGAATTAGACTGAGATTGGGTGAGTGCAGGTCGTGTGAAGAGCACAGAAAGTGAGAGGATTGGCCTGTTCCCAAATTTAAGTTTCCAACCCTGGAAAACTTGACTTGTTAGCAGGCCCATGCTCTTTCTGGAACACAGCTATTATTGTACACTTTGATGGATTTTCATAGTCTCCATCAAACACATTCGATGTCATGTTGTATAGTTGAAAGAGATTCACTTGAAATGGATGCATGTTAAGGCCCTCTGAAATCATTTTTAAATTAATTCTTGCAGCTTGGCATCACCATTCCTTGATGTGTTAGAAATGATGCTGGAGGGAGCAGATGATAATGGTAATGACCGTGATGATGATGATGACAGTGATCACCACAGTAATGATGGGAACTCTGGTGATGAAGTAGAATGCAGTGATAATAGTGAGGACTACACAAATCTGATGTCAGACGTTGATTTTCCAGTTGATGATGAAGATGAACAAGATGCCAACAGTGAAAATGACAGCAGCAGCAGGAAAGATGAAAGTGATGAACTATTCACTGGATCTGAGGAAAACTGAGGTCATGACATGATTGTTGACAAAATGTACACTTTGGCTCACTATCTTTTTTTATATTGCTCTTACTAACTATTTAAAATGGTACACTAGTACACTATATTAAGATCTTTTCCCAAATAAAACAGTTAACAACAGCAATCTCTTAACAGCACACAGGCAGAGGAAGTTTGGCTTTTCTTTGTGTGATAATGACCTGCTGGCAAGGAAGCAAATTTGGGAAGTATTCAAGCCAATGCAATTTTTTAGAAAGAAACAGAATGATTTCCCAATGATTTTCACTTCATTTATTAATAGAAAGTCTTTGATTCATTTAATACCACTCTTTTCATCAAGCCTTGCAATAAATCATTTGAGCTAAAAATAGTCATGTGATTTAGTTGTCTTATATATCATTTTTGTAATGTTTTGTTTGTGAAGGCTAACTGTATCTGACTCCATCTTCGATTAAATATTGCTGGTAATTCTTTGCAAAACATTTAATGACATCAGCTCTTCTGAACTTCATACCTAAATAATTTTTTTATTTTTTCCTGGGAATGAAAAATAAAATAAAAAAGAAGCAGTTTTGATGTAATTGTAGATCACCAACCACAAATCTAGGAAATTCAAAAGAAACATCAATAATATTATGTTGCTGGATTGTTAAATCAACTGTCATTAATTATGAACTTAATTTTTTTTTTTCGAGACTTAAACATTATTTTTGTGCTAGGATTTGAATGGGTAGTATAGTGTTCCAGTCCTACTCAATAAACATACATGGAGTTTGTCATGGTTTATATAAATGGTTTACCATACCACTCTCTTTTAGAGGAATGACTTAGCAAGCATAGGTGATAGGGGTACTGGAGAGAGAGAGAGAGTTGACTATATTAAAACCACTCTGACTAATACCTTCTGCTGTCGTCACTATACCCTTGAGCAAGCTTCATCTCAAACATTCCAATCACACGGTGATAATCAGAGTCAACATCCGATCCTCTTGTGACTTTAACATCAAAAAGGGTTTTTTTTCCCACTTCTTTGAGACTGTGATGTGATCCATTTGATTGTACTAGTGAAGGCAGGTGTAGGTAATGTTACTTTGTGTATTTCCTTGTGTTGGAAGAAGGAGCCTTCAATGGACAAATCATTGAAGGCGCAGCAGTCAATGAATGTCTTCATTCTCATCGATCTCTTCTAGTGCTTCTTTTCCCATTATGTCCTCTCTACCGCTGTTGCACGCTCCGCTCTCTTGTATTGCCCCCAACCGTTTGTATTGACGTGTTTCTCTTCGAAACCTTTCTCAAGTCCCCCCCTAATTATAGGCCCTTATACCTGGAAGCAAAAAAATACACCTGGTTCACCACTACTAGGTGATGATCCCGTAGAGGTATATTCGCAACATGACTACCTCCCAAATATTAAAGTAAAGTAAGAAATCAGAAATCGCCATAAAATCAAAACGAGGGAATCTTTGTACGTTTGTTAAATGAGCCACAGATTGAATCATCGCAAAATGCGTTTTGCACCAGAATCCCATATTTTGCGTTTAAAGTTTGTTCGCAAAACATGGTTTTCATCGATAAGACACAGATCGAGTTATCGCAAAATGTGTTCCTAAAATGTGCCATAGTTTGAGATATCGCAAAACCTGGGTTCTCAGAAGTACGTTATCCGAAAAATTCGTCAAGAACCAAAATTAATTTTCCAGTGGAGTGTTTGTGTCTCGCGAATTTGGAAAATCGTGCTCATCAAGAAACCATATTTTGAGGTGTCGCATTCTGTGGCGTTAAATGAAGTCGCAGTTTGCAACATCGCAAAATACGTTTTATACAAGAATCCCATATTTCGCGTTAAATATTTCATCGCAAAATATGGCTTTCATTAATTAGACACAGATTGAAACATCGCAAAATGTGTTTTATACCAAAACCCCATCTTTTGCTATAAGAATCTGATCGCGAAACATGGCTTTCATTAATCAGACCAAGATTGAGTCGCCGCAAACTGCGTTTTATACTAGAAGTCCCATATTCCGCGTTTAAAGTTTAATCGTTGACAAAAATTACAATACCTATACACAATTACGTTTGGAAACTTGTTCTCAATTGCCCGTCAGCTATGGATGCTGGCGTTCTGGATCAGTCCCTTTACTTATCAGTTAAGTAGTAGGACCTCAGCTAAATTGGGTGGAAGACTACTTATACCATATATTGCGTTAACGCGATTTATATATGGCTCTAGTAGATGTACCACATTTTGCGAGGTTCGTTCTCCGGTTTAAAAATATGTCTTACTGTTCTTTTACCAGGTTTTGCGTTATTGCAAATTGTGGTTTCAAAAGTAAAGGCTATACCGTCCATACTTTTCATACCACAGTTTGTAATAACGCAAAACCTGGTAAAAGAATAGTAAGACGCTTTAACGCGATCGCAAAATGTGGTACATCTACTAGAGCCACAAATTGCGTCAACGCAATATATGGAATAAAAAGTATGGACTATAGCCTTTACTTTTTATACCACATATTGCGATAACGCAATATATGGTATAAAAAGTATGGACTATAGCCTTTACTTTTTATACCACATATTGCGATAACGCAATATGTGGTATAAAAAGTATGGACTATAGCCTTTACTTTTTACAACACATATTACGTGAAAACGCAATTTGTGGTCAGTAGATGTATCGCATTTTGCGATCGTTCATTAAATGAATTAAAAGATGGAATAAAGACGTTCTTGACCAAACAGCCTGTTCACAATGATATTCAGGCCCATTCTGATCCTCAGAGCCGCTTGTCCTTCTTAGCCTGTGCACGAGAAACAAGTGGTTCTCGGGACACATGATTTGGTCGGCCGGATTTGAAAGGGAGTTTAAAATCGAGCCAGTCGAAGCAACAGTTTCAAACTCCTGTATAACAAAGTAATTTTACGACGGCTCCTTTGATTGGCTGTTCTTTTTGTGTAAAACCGGCCAAGATTCTCGTGCACGGGCTCAGCCGGCTAAGAGGGACAAGCGGCTCTGGCGACAAGGATGATGCAAGCCAAGGAAATAGAAATAAAGTCGGGTGAAACGGTTTAACGAATGCCATGCGGATCCAGACAAAACTCTACGTTGTGAAAGACATCTAATCGCCGTAACGTTGTCATTTCAAAAAGGAAAAAGATACAAGCAAAACGCAAAAAAAAAAAACAATAACAACAACGACAGGAAGTAATTAGGCACGTGATCTACATTCCCTTATTTTAATTGAAATGAGCTAGATAAATCAGTATTGCGCATGAAAATGGCACCAGAAAAACTTTAATTTATGCTAATTATTTATTTCAATTGCAGTATTAATTTGCAGCAATAGACGGTTGTTAGTGTTGAAACGTATTATCATTTAACTAACTCCATTTTGGTTCTTTGCTTTGGTATTGACGTCAATGCAATAAGGTGTAAGCAATATGCATTCCACCGCCCGTACAGGACGATTATTTTATAACAACCTCAATCAATAGTCGATACAACGGGCGTATTTACTTGCAATACACGCGCATTGCCGTCACAATTGCAAGTTGGAATTCTTGTCCTCGCGCTAAAACAACATAGTATTCCAGCGGGCAAATGCGACGGCTAAACGCGTATAAAGACGCCCAGTAACATAACCCACGATTAAGATCCTGTTAAGCTAAAGAACCTCTTTAGCCTTTAACTTCAAGAACCTCTTAAGCCGACAAATGGAAAAGGTTCTTTTTTGTTTCCTAAAATCGAAAACAAATGTTTATTTTTAGGGAAATAAGATAGGCCGACATTCTGGAAGAAAGGGAGACAAACAAGGACAGGGAAAGGGAAAGCGAAAGAAGGAACGGGAAAATGGAAACGAGGGAGAGATGGAAACAGTATAAATGGTGTTGTATGGTGTCAGAGTAAAATTGTTACTTCCATGCGTCAAAGGTCTTACAAGAAAGGTATTTGTACATTTGAAGTGGATCAAATAAGGGCCTGAAATAGTTTTCATTTAAATCATGACAGCACCTCCAGAGAATCAGAGGAGTTCCATGCAAAAACTAAAATGGAATGCGTCGTGCATTTTCCTTTTTTGAAATAAATCAAATGAAATGTATTTCGATCCATGGGTGAGAAGTATTAAGGTCTACACATGTAGATCTCACTAAGTGTTCCATCAAAAATGTTGCACACTGAATAGCTGCAATAGGGAATAATCAATATCTGTCCTATGAAAAGTTTTTTAAAGATTATTACTATAAAACAACAATGCGATAAACTGTAAGTATCTCAAATTTTACGTTAATTTCCTCTCGTTCACTGCCGAGCAAGAAGCAAGTGGAGGAAACGGCAGAAATACTGGCCAGTAAAACCAATAACAAGTATTGAGAAGCCACATGAAAATTAAACTTCAAGATGCTACTTTTCATGCATAAAATGTTGAGCAAAACTACCACAATGAACTGCAGGCATATATTTACATGTACATCGAGAAAACTGCCAGGTAAATTGACCAGTTATTGTTAAGTCTAAATAATTAAGAACACCAACAAGATGTAATTCAAGCACTCCTACAAATACGGCACTTGAAAACAACCAGTAACAAAGTAACCAGTCAAGATTCATGCAGGAAAGCAGGGAAATTTTTGTTGGCCACCAGCTACCTTATACAAGGCTTTAACTTATTGATAGGAATTAAAATGTAGTCAATGATTTCAGGAACAACATTCATCAATTTTGTTTACTAGTGTTTAAAAGTTTGTATAGTTTACCGGGTTTAACTTCATTGTACTGAGAAGAGATGCTGCTAACATCAAACCCATGACGTTGAAATAATAAATAAATAAATTTACGTTGACTGTAAATGGAAGTATTTCGTCCTTTGGATGACTTAAAGTTCCTCATTAGCATAGTCCAATCTCTTAATGGTGGACAATGTTGGCTTCCAAGCTCCCAGATCTCCTTCACTTGCTCCAGACTTTCAACATTTCTTGGAATTGTTAATGAATTTAGCCAGTCTAAACAGGATTGACCAGGAAGACCATATTTGGCATGGATGTTAAGAGTCACAGGATCTAATACCACAGAAGAGCATGCTGGTGGCACTTGATGATACAAAACAGATGAAACTGAGGGTGAAGATAGCTGAAGAGCTGGAGCAGGAGAATTTTGATGAAATGTCTGCAAGGCAGTGGATGCAGTGGATGAAATGACTGGGCGGAATATAGATGAAATTGAATAATTATGGACACTTGACTGTGAAGATGAAGGCTGACTACATGACGGATGTGACAGGCTTAAAGATGATGAAACTTGTTGTAATGGTGATGGTGTGACTTCCACTGGCAAGGATGAGATAGAGGGAGCTTGAGGAGGCAATGTTGCAGGTTGTCCAGATAATGTGGAAGGTAGGAGTGGAGTTGATGAAGATAGCTGAGCATGAAAAAACGGAGACGCTGTACAACCAGTAGCAGAAAAAACTGGAGGAAATGACAGAGAATGCTGACCAAATGGCAGAGTATCTGAAGTGGAAGGTTGAGGATTTACTACTGAGCGGGAAGACTGCTGATTAAATGAGGATAAAGGATGCAGGTCCTGTTGCACTGATAGTGGAATAACATTTGACAACAAAGATGCACAAGTTGTAGCAGGTGGGTTATGACTGGATAAAGATGACCTAGATGATGTAGGTGATGTGGATACAGAAGATGTCAAGGTAAATGATGTTAATACAGATGATGTCAAACTAGATGATGCCAATGTAGATGATGTTGATGCAGATGATGGTGATGCAGATGATATTGATGCAGATGATGTTGATGCAGATGATGTTGATGAAGCTAACACTGATGTAGATGATGTTGGTGTTGACAATGTGGATGATGTGGAAGTGGATAATGATACGGTACATGTAGGCTGCCCTGTATTGCTGGCCTCCATCATTGAAATAAAAACAGACGACCAATACAAAATTTGACGGGCAGCATTCAGCGCTGAACCACAGGCTGTTCCATCTGGAGTCTCAGGAGAGGCCTGAAATGTTTGCAGTTGAGAGGACACTTCCCTCAAGGAGTTAATAAATGGCAACGTGTGAAGTGATGAAGGCCCCTCCTTTCTGGTATCAGTGATGGCTGTTATCCCAACAACTGCTTCATAATCTTCCACTATTCTTGGAATGGAACAGTGGCCATCACTGTTCAGAATTTCTTTGATTTCAGTTGATCCCCTTAGCTTAGATAGAAAGTCCATGAATTCACTGTCCTGTGCACAAGAAAAGAAATAAAGTAGAAAATTTAAAATAAAAACTCTGCAATGAATTGATTTTGTACCTCAGATATAAAATTATCCTGGCATGATCATAATGCAGTATGTGTCCAAACCCAAGCTACTGTAAATTGTAAGTCAAAATCAAGCCAAAGGTAATCAAGAATGCGATCAATGTGGATCTAATTTCTTTTTTCTGCATGAGTTTCAGAGGTTCAGTTTTACAGTGAAATCACCCATTAAGTGTAGTGAAGTATTTTTATAACTTATATAAATTGACTGAAAAAACATGCAGTGTTTAAAAATGAATATGTTTTTAAATGGGTGGACTCTAAAAACATGACGTATTGAAACATCGAATCTTGACCTGTTGAAAGCAGTGAATAGTAAAATTAACTTATTTTATTTGCTATTTATTTATTTATTTACAAAATTCGCCTTGAGGTAGGTGGGCATACAATAGAACCTTAGGTCCCCTGCTAAGTAAACCCACCACCTAACCATTCCCCTAAAAAATTGACAACCCTTCCCTGGAACCCTGATAAAAATAATAATGAAAAAAAAAAAAAAAAAAAAAAATTTTTGAGAAATTAACAAGAACAACATGTTATAGTATTGGCACAGTGACACTTCAGACAGACTAACTCATAAGAACAAATATCATAATGATTGAACATTGAACTTAGTCTATCATAAAAAACCATTTTAACTTTTTCTTAAAAGGAACTTTACCTCTGATCTTATAGCGATAGGTAATGCATTCCACAGATTAGTTATTCGGATGAAGAAGGAATCATGGAAAAGAGATGTTTTAGCAGTTTTGTTGTTGAGAAAAAGCCCAGAAGATCCCCAATGGGAACACCCACTACAAAATTGAGCAGAGTTATCTAAATTAATAACAATAATTCCATAAATACATTTGTAGAGAAATAATAATCAAGATATTCCAGCCAGTAGTTGAGAGGTAGGGGGTTAAGGTTCAAGATAAAACGTGTAGCTCTCCTTTGGATATTTTCTAATTCTAGCATCAATGTAGGAGATTGTGGCCCCCAAAGCTGTGAGGCATAACACAGGTTAGAGCACACAAGAGAGATATAAAGTAGCTTCAGAGACTCCTTATTGAGGTCACCCGAGCAGTTCCTTTTTAGGAATCCCAGCATTCTTTTAGATTTTGCAACCACCTGAGCAATGTGTGCAGTCCACTTCAAGTCCTTCAAGACAGTGAAGCCAAGGTCTTTTGCAGAAGAGACAAATTTAAGATCTTTATCCATTAACCTATATAACCTTTGTCTTTTTCTTGTTATTGTGAGGTTTACACATTTAGATGGTTGGAAAAAAATCTCATTATCAGTCAGGGACCAATTCTGCAAGCTATTCAGGTCATGTTGGACATCAAGGAAATCAACTTGGCACATATTTCCTAGATAGCTAGAGCAAAAGTCAACAGAAATAAAGAAAATTTTTTCATGAAAAACAAAAGACTTTAAGAACTTTGATAAACAAGACAAGAATATTATTTGTAATGAAAAAAGCCAAACATAAACCACTTAATGCATGTACATGTAGCTATGAAATCCAGAGCTGAAAGTGTTTCTAGTTGATTTTTTTAAACAACCTGTAGTCATCATATTTTTATGAATATGTAGAGAAAAAATAATTTACCTCATCATTTCCATCACTTTCTGAATCAGAAGCATCTTCATATTCAGATGCTGATGAATTCTGTAAAACAAGCAGCACAAAAAGATGACAATAAATTTATTGCTCCATTTTAAGTGCTTTTAAAATTATATTGTATGTACAAATGAACAGTGAAGCCTACACACTGAATTAAACACACCATTGTAAAAGGCACAAGTGTAGTAACTTGTCACAATAGTAAGAGAGCCCCAAGTGCAATAGCATTCAGTCAAATTTGTCAAAGAAAATACTTGATCACCATTCAACAATCTCAAGGAAGGTTAACAAGTCTATTCACCCACTGACAGTCATTATAAATCTAAACTTAACTTCGGCAGTACAAGTTACAATGCAACCATACTACCTTTGCTCACATCATTTTTAAGACTCTTCTTTACAGAAATGCAATAACATTTCAGTGGTTATATGTCTCACAAACTTAATTCACAAACTAAGATGCAACCACTGTGCACACTTATTACGATTAAAGTACATAAAGCTGTACCTCCACTTCTTCCTGTTCTTCTTCTTCTTCAGACATTGGTTCTTCAGGCAACATCTATGATATAAAATGATTTAGTTGAAAACAAACGAAAACTGTTCCATGTGGAAAATGAGGAAGGCATGATACATATTAGCTATTAATGTAAAAGTGATCACTTGCTTTCTCCTCTCCTCCCCCTAAAAACCACTGGCAAATTACTGGTCATTGCAGAGCAAAACCTGGGGGTTTACTAGCACAATAACCCACAAGGAATGCTAGGATAGCATGAGAAAAGTTTAAGACTCAAGACTTAACTGAAAGCGCTGAAAACGCATAAAACTAGAAGTATAATTCCGGTGCGTCCAAGGACTCCGCACAGGCTTTAACAATAAGGTTTCTAGGTAAATGTTAACTAAATGAAAAGACATGCATGTTGTTAATGTTATTCCAGTCTGGTGAAAGCAAAACTGTTTATTGTGTCCCTTTGCATATGTTTGTTTCCGTGTTTTTGGTTTTTTCCTCTGATTACCTCGCTCCAACTGGAGTGGGCCGGAATTGCCATTTTTGTGATCCACCCTCAGGAAGTTTTCCTGCTGGTCAAGCATTGTGTAAAATGAAGGATAGTAAACACAATAGCCTACATTTGGCTAAAAATTATGCACGGATATTTGTAGTGAAATACCTTTGGATGTTTGTTTTGATTTGTACATAAGTAGTATACAGGGTAATTCGTATAAAGCCGAGAAATACTTGCTTTAACGTGCTCCAAGTGACACAGCATGCGCACTGATGGAGAGCAAACACGCTTCAATTCCGATATCGTGTTGTAGCACTTTACATATGCATAAAATGCGTGTAAAGTCCGCGTATGTATGCCCTCATATTATTGATACTTAACATGTAATCTCACTCGAGAGACATCAGTTATACAAAAGATTCACGAAAACTTGAAGCGTCGTCACAGTTATCTTACAAGCAAAACAAAAAAGTTTCTGTAGCGTTGATACAGATAAAAGTGGCGATTGTGATTAATTTCACACTTCAGTCGAAAATCGTACGAAACGCAAGTATCATCAGGGCTCCTACTAAATTCCAGCTGAAAGTTATTGGGAAAAAGAACGATAAATTTCGAAGATGATAAGATTCGAACGATAAGTTTCGGAGATGGTGACAAGGAGAGCGACTATATCGAGCGAAAACAGCGACTGGAATAGTCGAATACGATTCAGTTCAAGCTTTCAGTAGGTATGCTTAGCTTAAAAATTGAAACATTGAAATGCCGAAGATAACATAAATATCAAATGAATACATACCCTGGGATTATCACTAGCAGAAGAACTTGCAGAAACCCCCGCCATTTCCGACTTCTGCCGATAAATCCGCCGACGGAATCAGCAGTTCAATTTCGCGCGGCCCGCGCATTAAATGGTCAGCATTAGATTCCATCCACCAAAACCATCTTGGTCGAGAGGGACTGAGATGGAATGATAGACAACTCATGACTTGTTATACTAAATGAAAATTACGAAGCTACGACAACATGCCGACTTATCCCGATGACCCAAGTGTATTATTTGTTTGGGAAATTGCGTCAAAACTTTTTACTAAAGAAATGGTAAGTATTAATTTATTGTTCGATTGTAGTATTATAAAACATTTTACGCAATTTTATGCAGATATTTCACGTATTTAAAAGGTGCTTAGATGTTACGTAGTTTTGGTGGATGTCATTAGGGAACATCCACCAAAACTTTGACCAAAACCATCAACAATATATTTTTTAAATTTTATCTATAGCCACTGTTAGATGTTCAGGGAGACAAAAGATTTATACCACTAATTAGCAGTTAGTGCTCTGGCTAATTATTTTTTATGGTGCACAATTGCTGACCGACCAAACGTTCATAATGATTATCATAACTCTTAACACATAGAATAAAGTGGTTTTGGTGGATGTTTCTCTCCATCCACCAAAACCACCACAGAAATTTCTGCTACTTCCTTACAGAAGACTGATGTGACCTGCTATTTGGAGTACATAACCACAATCTATTTCTTTGTATGTAGAGATATTTTGGAAAGTTCTTGAGTCAGCACCTTTTATTATTGAAACCATAATCATAACATGGTGCATAATATAGCCACAAAAGGTTCTGGTGTGGTAATCATGTAATCTTGAAACAGGAGAGTTTTTAACTGAATTAAACTGATTTAAACAAACATTTGCAACAAAATTCCAGGTCCAGAAATTTCTTCCACTATTTCCGCTAAAATCATAACCTTTAAGTACAACAAATCAGCACATTAGCAATTGTTATCAGGGGTCTGAAAATCCTATAAATCTTTCACATTTATTTCAAGTAACCTTTAATTTCACATGGATGAATAAGTATACACTCAAGATGCAGAATGTCTTACATTTTACAAACTATTTCCCTTTTTATGGAGAGACAGTGAAAGGCCTTTGCCACATTGGTGAATCAAACCACTGTATACCATGCATTTTGTGATAATTGTTTGTTTTTGCTCACAATAACCAGAAAAATGGAGGGGATAAATTTAAATAGCAAATTCTATGGTTAAAATTGAATAACATTGGAAGATCAAATTAACTTTGTACTGTTAAAAATTCAGTTTTGGTTTCTTGCTTATTCCAGCCTCTTGATATTCAAAAGCATTCCTTGTCATTTTTGTGTTCTTCTGTGTACATAACTTGAAAAATAAACACAGAGAAAGGAAACCACAAAGGATTAAACTTGAAGCTAAAGCAAAGTTTAAGTTGAGCCATAGCTGATCCAAATACTGAGCACTTTGTATTGTAACCCATTTAGCAGTAAAGTTTATCTATATGTCTGCCAGCTTGTCACAAGTCTTACCCCTCTCCTTCAAAAGTCTCTATAAATAAATTTTTCTTTGTGGTCCCTAATTGATGATAAGTATATTACAGCTCCTCAATTTTCCTCTCTCAAGACAAGGTTACTCTAAATTTAACAAAGTAATGGACTTGATAAAACTCAAACTATAACTCAGCTGGCTGCTACTTGCAACCTTAATTTCTAGATATCAGTATACAATAATCAATATGTTATAAATAAGACCCTAATGCTTAATTTTGCAGTGATCACCTTCCTCCTTTTCATTTGCAGACCAGACTGGAACCTCTATAGGTGTGTTTGCTCGTTTTGAGTGGGGATGGGAGAAAAGGAGTCATGCCGCATATCTGATTTATTAAATTGGATTTGTTCTGTTCATACATGAGTAGAACTACCTTGTTCTCTGAAAAAAAAAATTTCTCGCATTTTTATCTGTGCTTTGCAGTCAAACTTCCTTGTGTCTTGGACAAGAAATCTTATTTTCTTGAAAACAAAATTTTTGTTTCCAGCCTTCTGTAATAGGTAAATATAACAGTGTAAGATGAGTGACAGTGTATTTCTCAAGTTATTTTTTGGAATGTGACAAAATGGAAGTGTCATAGTGTGATAAGGAGCCAACAGATGATTGCTTGATAGAAAGCAAAAAATGCAGAATTGCATATATTTTCTCCTTTGTCAGCAGCATATGTTAGTGAAAAGTTCTTATAATTGTTAACTTCTAAACCATCTTCAATTTAGTCAAGATTGAACTGTTATCATGTTTGTCATAAAAGTATTCTGAGATCAATGTCATATGACCCATCCATGTATTTGACCTTTTGAATTAGCAAGCCATAGTTGACAGAAACACAAAGGTTGAGGATAAAAAGAAATTATTATATACAGTACTTCTTCTGCATCTTTTCGTTTCTTTTTCTCTCCAGCTGTTCTATCGATGCCGTGCTGGCAATTGAACACTTTCCTTCCCAAAATTAGGACTTGACAGCTTTAAAGAAAGAAAACTTCGTCGTCAATCCTGTTTCAAATTCCGCAATAAGTTTATGCGCCTCATCAACAGAATTTACGTATCCTAAATTATCTGCATGTCTACCATCAATGGTTCGCGACTTAAAATTCTCGCTATGCTGTTTCTGTTTGTTCCTCAAGAATCATGGGATTTACAGCTTCGGATGTTCGGCTACATCACTTGCGGATTTTCGAGAATCTTCGGTTATGTTTTGCAAGTCATTAAATATTCCATCCCAGTCCCTCTCGACCGAGGTGGTTTTGGTGGATGGAATCTAATGCTGACCGCATTAAATCAGCTTAGCAGCCATGCCTCTTTGCTTGTAGGAAAGTGACGTCACTGTAGAAATTCTACCAACTACCAGCACCATATATGGCGCCCGGAAAAAATAAGTAATTCTGTTACGCTTTTCGCGGTACGTCCGATAATGAATGCGGATTATTTGACTACTATAAATGTTCAAAAATCGCACTGAATTAATTTTTGTTTGATTATTCAATCATTACAACTGAAGGATAAACGAGACGCCTTCAGGCGTTTACGCGGGCTATTAACATGTGATACAGAAAGAGTATCTTTAGATAAGGACCTTGGAAATATAAACAATCATAAAAACAATTTTAAAGAGGTGCAAGAGGCTAAATTTGGCGAAAGCTTTGAGCGTCAAGCAAATCTCCCAAAATTCAATCTTGAAGTAAGTGAACGTGGCCTTTATTATCAGATAGAAATGGAATGTTTAAAACATACTCTCTATCTACAGACTATTTACCAAAATTGGCAAATTCACCTTCATAAACATGCATATCCATTGCCCTTTTTTCACATTTGTTGCCTGACATGGCATACCTTTTATCTCTTCCAATGAACATTAGGATTTACTGGTATACTAATTCAAGGGAAACGGATATCGAGGGTTCATTAGCTGAATTTAGTCAAATATCATATACACTATGTTTGTTTCGAGGTCTCCCGTATCCTCGTAGAACTAAGTTCCCCCAGTATTGTACATGCTTAATGTTTTCTAGGAATCCTAATAATCACAAAAACCCTGGATAAAGCGTTGGGGATACCCAAGGCTGAAAATAAAATAAAGGTGACATAGTCAGTCAACAAATGAATAGGTCAAGCTTTATTGAAACGCTTAAAATGATCAAATTAACCGAGTTTAAATGCTTGATGGTACACTTTACTCAAATTAGAGCACAGAAAAAAACAAACAAACAAGCGAATAGGAAGAGCTTTATCTCCAAAATGAGCGAGAAGGAGACGATAAGATCGCGCAACATTTCGTTGTCTTTCAGGAACCTATAGTCACGAAGTGCTGCCGCTTATGAGAGCTTCGTAATAACCTTGTGGGCTTATGCACGGAGGGGCTTTTATCATATATGAATGACCATATGTGTATATATTTTTTTTTGAATAACGACATGGTTCACAGGATGCTGGTGTCGATTTTCGTTCTCAGCTCGCGAGAAATGCCATTACCAAAGCCACTAAATACGTAACTTTTGCTTTTCTTTCCGTATTTTATATATTCTGACAAACTAGATAGCTCACGAGTTAGATGTCAAGTTGAACACAAGAAGAGAAATTCCATATCTAGAAGCAACCAGGTATTATTTTGTTTATCATGTAAACACATTTGCCCATTACTGACAAGAAAAGTCAACTTTAGTAATGAATGAAAATAAAAGGATCGAAAATCCCCGAATAAAAATATTAAAGTGCGTTGGCGCTCTCAAGATGAAAACACGTGTTGAGTCGCTTAAAAAAAACAACAACAACAACGAGCCTATTTTCAACGAAAAAATTTTCAGTTCTTGAATTGGTTCTTACCTACAGAAGAAATCTTTCAGGCACATGGCCTAAATCGGCCCGTGGTAAATCTTCCAGTTTTTGATTTTCGTTCTCAGCCGCTATATACGTTGGGTTTTTCTTTTCGTAGTTTGATTTTCTTCGCTGTTCACGCCCTTATTGGAACGTGACTATTACTTTGAAAATGAGGTATGTAATAATTTCCTTTAAACCATCTTTTTCAAACTCCCTCACGAAGTCTGTGTGACCAGACGAAACCGCTGGGAGAAAATAAATCAAGTTGACATTTTCTGTTGTTGTTTGCTGCTCACAAGCACCTATGAAAAAGAAATGTACAAAAAGGATGTATCTTTATCGGAGATCAATATTTACGAATGAATGTGATTTCTTGAATGACTATGGGGTCAACAGATTTGTGATGTTTCTTGGTTCTTTGTTCAATATCTCATTTTAGCTTTGGCCTGACTTTAAAGGTATTAAACTATCCCCGTTACGCGATTATGTATAGTAACAGCATTTTTCTTTTTTCCCTTCAACTTTTCATTTAAGATTTTCCTTCCCCTTCCCCTGAACCTTTCCCACAATCTATAGAGGTTTCCATGGTAACGAATCTGGAGAGAATTTGAAACCAGCCAACCGCACCTAATTCATCTGATTATTATCTCACGTCAAACGGACGCCATTGAAATTGTGAAAGGAAAATGGCTACTAAGGA